AGTCGTAGTAGGGTTGTGGTGGTGGTGGTGGTAGTAGTAGTGGTGGTAGTAGTAGTGGTGGTAGTGGTGGTAGTAGTAGTAGTAGTAGTAGTAGTGGTGGTGGGAGTAGTCGTCGTCGTTGTTGCGTCATCACAATACAACACCAATCACTGTTCTCCCAACCGCTACCCTGATGAGCGGCAACCGGGGCCGAGGTGGATTGGGCGCACCTGGAGTCCGTCACATCTCGGGTGCCTTGGCGCTGCCAAAGATTGGTTGGAGCAGGTGGACATCGGAATCGGTTTCTGGTGCAGAAGAACCCCCCCTGCTCCCGAACAGAACGCTCCGGGAAAAGGAATCTTCGAGACCTTGGTTCAGGGCAGAGAATGGATCTCAAAGGGCTTGGCTGCTTTCGAGTATCGTTCCGCTACAAATCATGCAGGCACCTGCTTCCTTTGCATTCCGAGCCCAGGACAAACAGCGCCAGTACGTCCGGCAGGAGTGCCATCGACGACATCCCGAATTCTTTGAGCCGAAGACTTGAGCCGAAGACTTCGGACTTTAGGGATGCGCAGAGCTTCCCCCTACAGAGACTTGAATGCCAAACCCGGAGCCACGAGGTTCAAGCAGGGCCTTTTCCCTACTGTCATTGAACCGGCAGGGCAGGGGTGCTGGTTGAGGGATTCAGCGGTTCAGGTTTGAGGTTCCATGACCTTCACGCAGCCAGAGAGGATCGTGGAATGCGCACTGCTTAGCACAGCATCAGTGACAAAGCTTAGAAACTTGCAGCACATCTGCTCCGTCCAAGTTGAAGCGAAGAAGGTGCAGGAGATCAGGTGTTCAGGGTGTCTCAGGAAACCTTAAACCCAAAGTGCCATGTTTCGAGTTGAGCAAACCTTTCCCATTCCCGTGCATGGAGAAGCCTGCGATTAGGCAGACATGCTCTGCCGTTAGATTGCGTCAGGCTCTTCCTGTGGAACACCAGACGCTTCGGTTTGGTAGAGCTTGCTGTCACTGGTGCATCATGGACACCTCCAGCTGGAACCATACATCCTTGCAGTTCGAGATTTCGGATTTAGGGTCAATGGGTCGCATCGAGCTGGAAACCGGCAGACAACGGCAACGGTGGCAGTACATGAATCAGCCGTATGCGCTTATCGTCTTCTTTGAGCTCACCAGTAGACTCCACACAGAAATGAGCACGATGTCACTGGGGGCCTTTGCCGGCCCGCAAAAAGGGAGGTTTCCATGGAATGTGCAGGATGGTACCAGAAGCAGGCGCAGACCCTGCCGCCGACCCATGCGGAATTTTGATTCAGAATGCATGGTTCATCTTTGCAGGGCTTGATTGCTTAAATACTTAATTAGGCTTCTGAAGCTGCTGCAAAGCATGTGGTCAGTGGCAGTATCTGCTACGACCTTCGCTCCTCCTGACAGGGAGTCGCGACGATTTCACAAAGAATATCCTATTCTGGTAGCATAGCCCCGGGCAAGCTTGTAAGGCAAATTTAGATTGCCGTGGATCTTCCGGGGCGGAAGCTTTGGGCGTTGGGTAGTTTCAAGGTTGAGGTTGTGGATCTAGATTCCGGATTTTCGGTCTTCCTCGCAGTAGGATGGCCTGTCTTTCTCAGAAACCCATTTGATTTGTTCATCTCGTGAGAAGAGCCTTTCCCTGCGAGCCTCCAACCCCAAACCAGACTGGCAGTTGATCGAACAGCGGAAGAAGTTCTGCCAGTTCTGCAGGATCTAATGTTGCCTACTTGGTCACGGTTTCTATGCAGGTTGCAGGTCAGTTATATGGAATGTTTCAGCCTAGCTTTGATATGTTTTGCTCGAGCTAGGATATATGGTGCGTGATCGGGTGCTTTAGTTGAGTTGTCACTGGAGGCAACGATTGCTTTTGGGGTCTGGAGCTCCAGTTTAGGACCGGGCCCTTCGTAAACGAAGGCCCCTCTCGACATAGCATGGCTGCCTGGCTCGGGGGTTCAGGGATTTGGATTCCGCGGAACATTCTTTGGGGATTGAAGGGAGGTTCGGGGATTCTACGGTCTTTGCGGTGAGCCTTAAGCCTAAGAGGGGCCTGAGATTGAAGATTAAGGTTGTTTGCGAAAATTCCCACGGTTACAGTTCCTAACAAGTTATTGTTGTGATATGCAGTGGGTTCAATGACCTTGGTCCAACTGTTGCGACATTGTCTTCGTCCTAGAATCTTGAATCCTTTTTCGTTGTGGCTGCCCACGAGGCTCACTGTGCGTCGAATACGAGAACCCAGAGCCCCCGCAAAGCCGCCGAGCAAATGTGCAAGCAATTTTGCCAGCGTCCCCCGGGTTCTGGGCGCAGTGGCTGGGTGCAGTAGTGTAGGTACCAACCAGTGTAACAGCCAAGCTATCAAGTATGTGTCACCAGCAAACATCATCGCCATCTCTGCCACCAACGCCACTCCTCGCGACGACGACGACGACGACGACGACGACGACGACTGCAACCCCCACTCTTGCCGCCACCACTACCACTAACAGAACAATTGCTGCCACTGATGCTACAGCTACTGCTACTATGCCTGCTGCTATCATTGCTGCTACGACGCCTTCCACCACCACCACCACCACCACCACCAATGGCACAGAAAGAGCCTTCAGCGTTTTGGCCAGCGCTCCAGCCCAGTTCCAAACTCATGTCACAGCGGCCATGGTCCTGTCAGAGGCAATCGAATGCAGGGTTTTGCTCTTGCCATCCTACTTGTATATCGATCTTGAAAGGACGGCCTAGCACGACCCTGGTTCCCAGTAAAGACCAGATTGACAAGCCAATGGCATCTCTTGCAACAACCCTGCTCGGGCGGCTGCTGGACCTATGCCCAGACAGCTCAAAGTTGTGCAGGATTTAAAGGGTTCTGCTGGCAGAGGTCCCTGCTCCTGGAGGTCCAGCAGGAGGATCGCAGAAAAGTTTTGCTTCTCTGGTGTACTCCGAAGCCGAAGTTGGGAAATTGGGATTATCGTGGATTTTCAGGCTGCTGGGGACTGCCAGACGGACCCCTGGCGTTGTTTCAGGGCGGATGCGTTTCGGGTTTTAGGGCATGTGACTTAGGAGCTATTGAACCCGAAGGGTTCACCGTGGATGTCGAGTCCAAGGCGTCCTGGCAGCCGCTTGTACCTCCCAAGATCTCACGAATCTCACGTAGCCTGATTAAGAAATCTCAGGTTGTTGTTAGGGTGCGAAGCCCTACCCTCTGAACCCCCTTGATCTAGGTTCCCCAGTAGTACCCTTTTGCCCTTTTTATTTGGGGGTCTCCTTATTAAAGCCGAATATTAGGAAAAAGGGTACCCTTATTATTAAGGGGTCACTGGGGAACCTAGTGATGAACTCTAAGCCTCTAAGCTACGAAAGCCTCCAGCCCATAAGTTCAAGTCGGCTTCCGGATTGCCCGGGTGGACACGTCGCGGGCGCGGATCCTCCAAACTCCGCCCACCTTGAGGGGTCACTGGAGCACAATCTTTCAGCGCTTCGGATGTCCTTGCGTGCTTCCGGTGAGCCCTTATCTGGGCGGAAGAGACTGGCACCCTGCAAGGGGTCCAGCAGGGTAGGACCTTGGGGTGCGCTTAGGATGCAGGGGTGTTGCTGGGCTTATCGGGGTCGTAGATCATCGTAGGCTCAGGGTTTGGGCCTGTGGGATTCAGGAAAAGCCTTTCGAACTTGAGCTGGAGCCTGGTATTCAGAGCGTTCGTGTCAGGGTGATAAGAAAGGGGTAGGCATCATTGCCTCTTCGCGCAGAGCCTGTTCGAAAACAGGCGGCCGCTGAAAAGTCAGGCCTGAGCTCTTTTAGAGGACTAACAGGAGGAGTGCAGGAGTAGCAGATGTTGTTGCCGTGGTGTTACTTGTACACATACTAGTACTAGTTAGTAATTATAGTACCCTACTGGCAGCATTGTCACGTACAGTAGTTCTCAGAAATGAGGGCTTTGAGATTGTCATGCTCATGATTATCTGTCGCAGTGCGTTTGTTGCCTTTTGTATGGTTCCGCTGTGACCGCCATGTACTTTAAGAGTAGTCTCTCTAGATCGCGGTCCACTTCCGAAGCTGCCATTTCCTCAACGTAGCAGAGAGGCTTCAGTTCAGACTTCGAGATTCCCGGTCGAGGCTGAACCAAATTTCCTGCAGGTACAACTGCCGCCAGATAAAAGCAGAAGCGTAGCAGGCCTTCGTGGGGATTCTCATCCCCCCCAAGCCTAAGCCCCAACCGTCCAGTCACGCACGTCTCAGTAGCCTAAAGCAGCTGCCATGGCCGTCGACCTTCCCACTTGCCGCGTTTGCTTCGGCCAGGCGAGAAGCCAGGGATCTCGCGAAAAAAGGCTCCTTCCTTCAAGGGCTTTCAGGCTTCGAAGTACTTCTCTTTTTCGAGGCAACTGTCACTTTGGAGGCCAAAGCATTGAGCATGTGTCTCCCTGCCGGGCCAACTAAACTCAACCCTAACCTTATACCTTGGAGTGAAGACCGTGGCTAAGGTTTTGGAGGCTGCCGAGAGATTTAATTTTGGGAGCCGGGAAATTCGACTTGAGGGACATGGCGACGCAAATCTGAGCCTGACCTTACTTGTAGCTCCTCCCTCACTTGCTTCGCGTCCCCCATGGGTGATGCTGCGCTGTGCTGCAGTCGTATCTCTGCAGTTCTGCTCCCATCCCGAGGGCTCCCAAGGTATGCGCCCAGGTGTACAGTAGCATGTCTGCGACTTCTTCTATCTGTCATCCAGCATAGCCGAAGCGCCTTCTCTCTGGGAGTATGTAGCTCCACGACCTGGTGCCGAATCTGGGCCGCGAGCTCAATGTTTACAACTTGTGGGTGCAATTGTGTGTTGCGTTCATGATTCGAAGATAGCCGAAATCATGCAACCTAAAAGCTTCAGAAGCTGTCTCGAAGGCCGCCCAGCTCTAGATCCTCGCTGCCAAAAGTTGCTTAGGGTCTATGGCCTTAGGAGCCCTACGGCCCTGCGTGATAGCTGGATTGAGTCCGGCTTTCTCGACAGGAGACGGAGAACGGAGAGGAGCTGATTTCGCCCTGCAAATGCGAGGCCCAGCCTCGCCGTTTAGAGCGGATTAGGTTCGAATCAAGGGGTCCGGCTCAGGATCCCCTTCAATCGGAACTTGCATTCGAGGTTTTATTTTGGTAGCCGCGACGATGCCAGGGTTCGCAGAAGTACATCCACCTTTCGTGCTTGCGACGCTGGCAACGCACCGTGTGCCTCCGAAGCAATCGTGCATCCGGGATCGAGCAGTTGCAACACAACTCGAGGTTTCGGGCTGGTGTGACAGCCTACACATGTTAACCTTGCATCAGAACCAAGCCGTCCACACCTCATAAGTTGAAGTGCGCTGTGGAAATTCGGAGGGTTCACTAGAGAAATGCCTGCGTTTCAGGGAGGGGGGCTGAGCATTGTGAGCTGCGACGTCTTGCCAGTGCTGCAGGGCGCACGTCACGTGATGCCCTGACTCAAGAACACCTTGAGTCTTGGTAGGGCTGGTAGATATATTTCCAGATATCTAGAATCTAGAACCCGTTGTTTTCTTGGTCAGGTTCCTAATGTCAGTATGGACTGGCGTAAAACTTCGTCACATGTTCGGGGCTTGGGAGGGAAGTCATGGCTATGGGTGCTTGGCCCTGGGCTGCATGGCACCATTGCCCTCACACTCATGGGTAGAGGACCACTCTGTGTGTGAGTTCAGCATGTAACTCCCACTCCATCACTCCTGCCAATGACCCGGATTTGACTGATTGAAGCCTTCGCTAGCGCCGCAGCCAAAACTCAGGCAGCTCGGAAGCTCAAATCACCCGGAGCCATGGGCAGCAGCAGACATGTTATCTTAACGGGTTTATTTCATTGTGCCTTTTTCTATAAACACAAGTTCTTTCGATTGTGTGTGTGTTTTTTTTTTGCCGGGTTTTGTGCCAAGGATTCGGGATTTGGGGCTTACCTAGGCGCCGAAGCCTCTGCTCTTGCTTGGGAGTCCTCAAATAGAAACTTATTTCCGGCCTATGTTGGCCTCACGGAACACATTAGGTTCTTCTTGGCAGTGAAGAGAGATTTGCAGTACGAATGGCAACTGTATCAAGACCTGGCCAATATTCTTCAGTGTTCGAGCACCTGCTTGATGCCAGGCTGATTGCTAGGCCGCTTTAGAAGGTCCAGCTCAGATCTGCGGGTTTCAGGAGGTTCGGGTGGTTGGGGGGATTTTGGGCTTTGTCGGGATCGCATTTTTTGTTTGGAAGATGTTGAGGTTTGATGACCTTTGGGGCTTTAACTTGCAGCCACCTAGCCAGTAGGCTTTACCTTTTAGCTACGAAGCCCCGGAAGACCTCAAAGCCCAAAACCTCTACGTACCACAGATGGCAGTCTTCAGACAGCTTCCGTTGGAGCCCTGTGCCGCTGAGGAAGATCGAGGAGCAGAAGCCCCCTGGCTGTTTCGAGGAAACCGCAGCTTTGTTTCGAAACCTCAAGCCCACCAAGCTTCGAAAACCCGGCAAACCCAACCCCGAGGACCCTCAGCTCCCTTGCGTGTCACTTAGGCCTTGGGACGAATATGGAGACGGTGTTGTAGTAGGATCTACATGGTCGTCTGGCTTCCGCACTGTACCCTCTCGCTGGCAAAGCCTCTGAAGCAGACAGTAAGGATCGGCACCTCGTCTGCAACGTGTGCAGAGGCATCTTCAACCTGCCCCCTCAGGCCTGGCATTCCCTGGCTCTCGGACTCGTAATAAAAAGCACTTTAAATCGGCTTAGACACGCAAAGCGCTTGAGTCCCAATATCTGAAAGTCCAGAAAGACCACATAAACACAAGGATCTCGCCAATTCATGGTCTGCTTTCAGAGGGCCCATAGATCTCAAAGCTAGGATCCCCATGTTTATGTGCCTGTTGGGGCAGGACCGAGGTGCGCTCCTGTCGGACCTCGCAGGGGCGCCGCAGCAGAAATAGTTGTGTGCTGTTTTGTTTTTGAGCAGTTTTTGTTGCTTTTGTTGCTGCTGTCCAAACTACCCACACCCGCTGCAGCCCGATAGAGATGACTCCCAGGCGCAACCTTCGGACGTGGCCACTGGCTTGTTGCCGCCTGGTCACCGAAACTTCATTATGCTTTCTCTTGGAAGTAAGGGGTCTCGGGGTTAGGGGCTTCAGGTCGGAGTTTAGCTGTTACGTGTTGCGGGTCTAACATTCGCTAAGGTGGAGTATCATAGGACCTATCATCAATGTGACTCTCCTTCCTGGGAGGTTGGTCACCAAACGCTCGGCCGGAGAGTCCTTGGCCCTTTGGCGGCCGTGGGGTTAGACGAACACATTTGATGAAGCTGCGTCACTCTAGGGGTTTAAGTTTGGGGCTCAGGCAGTGTTTTTGTGTTTAGCTTCGGAGGTTTTCGCATGTCTGAGAGGGACCAGTACTGAAAAGTGCTTTTGCCTTCCGCTCTTCGGGAACCCAGTCATAGGGCGAAGTGGCAAAACACGGAGGCTTTGCGAGTTCAGCTAATTGCAGGAAGTGCCATGAAGCAGAGTTGACAGGCGCCTTTGCTCCGATACTGTAAATGTTCACGCTTAGGCACTTCCTTTCAGCTCGTTTTCCTGACGAGCTCTCAGGAGCTCTGACGACCAACAGTTCGGTGACACTCGTGAGGGAGTCGGATTTAATTTGCGCTTCGGTCCTCGACCGTGAACCCCGGTGCGAACATCCAACCCTTGTTATCTCTAAAGCACTCTTATCAAACGCTCCGAGCCGTTTGAGGGCTTGGGGTTGCATAGTTTCGCATCCAGTGAACGCTGGCCCAAGAGTCCGACACGGCACTTCTGTTCAATACTGCAGCCCTCAAGTCACTCACACCACAGCGCTGAAGTCAGGACATAGACGAACTGAAGCCCTGAAATCCGTCAAAGACTGCTGCTTCGTGATGAATGTTTGCATTTGGGTTGTAAGCCCCAGCAGCACTTCCTGAAGCCTTCTCAAACTCTACAAAGCCCGAAAAGGCTTCAAGCAGCCTGGACAATTTGGCCATACGCGCCTTTCTAGAGGCCAAAGCTGCGTGTCTTGGCCGTCGAAGTGCGATAGGGTGCAGAGTGCAGGCGGGATCTCGTCGAGTTTATGTTTCAGAGTGACTTTGTCGCGGAACCGAAGTGGTTTTACAAGTCTGTCCTCTGAAATCCTCTACTGCCATTTCGCATGCAGGGCCTCTTCTTCGGACCTCATGGTGGGTGATTTTGGAGCGTGCGATCTATCCGAGCGTTGGAGAGCCTAATCCACAGCTCAGCTGTGGGATATGATGCAAGCCCCCCCGAAACAGCGATACCCCATCTAGCAGCAAGTTGCCAACTTCTAAGACTTGCGAAGTATCGCAGACAGATCATTCAGGATCCAGCTTGTGCTTCTTGACTTTCCTTGCAGACGAGAATATGTGGGTGTGTCTATATCTAAATGTCAATGTCGTTGCAGCAGGAGTCTAAAAGAAGAAATTGCTAGGAAGGCAGCAGCTTTTGTTTTAAGGTTCGCGTTCAAGGCTTTGCCGGGCTTTTGGATGGGCCTGAGGTAGGGCTGGTCACAGCTTTTGCGGCTCAGCGGGCTGTTGTTCAAGCAGTGATGCTTCCAAGCCGTCATCGATGCTTAGATCTGCAACCCCTGGAGAAAGTATTCGTGAAGGTAGGTCAGAGCGTTGTGCCGCACTATTCGTGATTTGTTGAAGCTTTTGAATGATTTATATGATCTCCGTTATTCGAGATCGCGGTGCCCTGCGCCTCCAACACACATTTCAAGACTTGTCACAGAGGCACTTCCGCAGCGCTGCCAGACCCTCAGCTGGACGGAAGTCCGAGTACCACCTCGGACGTTACAGTAACAGAAAAGCTCATGGAATCCGGAACGGACAGGAAGGAGAATATATGGGCCTGCTTATCGGATCTTGTCGGATTTCTTCTTCAGCACAAAGGTGCAGTTGCCGTTCTAGCAACCATGCGATCAGTACTAGCCACTGATTGTTGGGGCTTGCCTCGTAGTCGTCCTGCTACAACTTGTAGCAGTCACTTTTATCACGATGGTCTTGTTTTTCGCATCCTAATCAGTCCTGTTACAAGTACTGCCAGTTTCCACCGTCATGTCAAGGAATAGAATTAGAAGTCGCCACCTTGGAGGTGTGTTTGTGTTGTTGGTTGTGCTGCTGCTGCTGCTGTTGCGGTTGCGGTTGCTGTTGTCGTCGCTGTCGCTGTCGCCGTCGTCGTCGCCGTCGGTGGTAGCGGTGGTGGTGGTGGTCTTCTCATAGACGCCACAGCAGAAGTAGGCGTAAGCTTCTGATGTTGTATGCCTTCGCCCGGATGGGTCTGCCAGTTGCAACTCAGCTCTTTTTGGAACCCCGAAAGTGACTCTCAGGCTCCTACTTTCGGCTCTGGGGCTCCTGGGGCTCAAGCAACATGGCCAGGTGTACATCCTCACTGACATCTCCCCCGGGGCCAAAGACGGCAGCCACTGAGCTGAACGTGGTCTTTGCCTTTGAAGCCCTCCCAAAAAGGATTGGTTCCAGTGATCTTCAAACCATATAGCCTTCTAGCATATAATGTTATATGTGTAGGAAGGTCTTCTTCTGCATGTTCTACATCCACATTTGGAGCATTCAAACTATGTGCCCCGGATTCTGTCTACATTGGTGGGGCAAGGCAGGCATGGGGCGATGAGCATTGACGCCAGGCCTCAGGCGCTAGCTTCATGAAGGCTTTAGGATCGAATATCCCCAAAATCTAGTGAAGGACAGTGCTTTGTAGGTGTTCGTTGGGGATGCTAGGCCCCATTCTTTTCAAGATCGTTTCGTTCTACGGGATGCGGGGCGTGGGGTGAGTGGCGCAGCCTGCTCGATACATAAACGACTTATGAAGACATCCGGATACATCCGACAGAGTCCCAGCTCGGCCGACCTGAAGCCGCTTTGGCCCAGCAGCAACCTCCATCCCTTCGTGCGGAGCGCCTTTAGGCCGGATCTTAATGTTGGGGCTGCAAAAAAGTATCAGCTGCGATGAATGCTGTGATTTTTGGGTTACGTGCATTTACCCAAAATATTCAGAGGAACCCTTACGAGTTTCACGGTCTTGGTTCGTTTCATAGCAGATGTGGCCTGGCTTCATGACTGGTCTTCGTTGGGGCTCGGTACCGTCCATCATGGTGTTGTGGCCAGCAAATTGAGTCTGATTGGCTTGCATAATCACGCTTCCGTTGGATTTCAGTGTTCAGCCAAACGGTGCTGTCGGAAAGTTGCAGTGTTGGTAAGCATGGGAACAAAGCATTGCAGGCTGCATGTTTCGTGCATGCAGGTAGACTGTCCTCAAGCGGAGCCCTTGTCCAAGTGTTGGCCATTGGCACTTGCGTGAGGTTGGGTTCAGAGTTTGAGGCTCGGTGCCTGATGTGAAAGAAGGCCTCGTGATGACCAGGATCATGGCATTTGCCCTCGAGTTGATGAAGCAAGCAGATGCAACCAACCACAAGCATCTCGGTTGCCAGCAGGCTGTTTGGTCGCGTGTCTGTGTGCTGCTGACAGGGTTTCAAGCATCCTGTGCAGAGCTGTCCCCTTGACCATTGCTTGGACCCCATAGAGGGTCAAACCCCTGGAAGTTTGCGGGGCGTTTTGTCTTTATCGAAGAAGGCTCCGTCGATCCAAATAATTCGTATCGTAGCAAGAAAGCAAAAAGACTTACACGATCCCAAAACCCTGCTCTCGTTGTTCACGCCCGTGTTTGGTCTTTCAGCCTCTGCTGTTTCGCCTTGGACCCTCGCAAAGCGTTTCTGGAATGAGGCTCCGCATGCCGAAGCCTTTGAAGTGTGACGAAGGTTTCGTAAACGTGTACATCGGAAGCTTCCGGCTGAGATGGTCATGTGGAACCTTACATACCCAAACCTCGAAGCATGAAAACTCTAGCTCCCGTGGCTATCTCAAGCGCGCCCAGGTTCAGGCCCTGTTGCTTAAGACTTGACACGTGAGCACAAGCCAGGATGGCGCTGGAAGAAGCTCAGAAGATAGAGGAGTGGGCCGGAGCCCTGGACCATGATCATGGGTTGAGCGAAACAATCCTCGGGCCTGAAGTCTGAAAGACAGCGCAGAAGCGGAGACATGACGTGTGACATGAGATAGTAATAGTGATGAGAGGGTTCGACGGGCTGTCAGCTGCATCTTCATCTGCACCGTCGTTGCCATGCACCAACAGCACTAGCAGTGGTAGTGGGATTTTTGACGTTGATGGCCCTGCATCTAGCGATCAAATCTGCGGTTGATAAAGGAACTTCAACATCCGTCGTCAGATGAGTCATTTCTGACAAGGTCTTTGTGCAAAATGTCATTGGCCCCGAACTGTGACATAAACCCTCTCTATCGCGCGCTGCATGTTTAACAGTTAAACGAGTGTGCATTGCTTGACAGTTGGAGTTGCAGCAGCGGTGTGAAGACTGTGTGGCCGGGGGTCGGCCTGTGTTGGCTAGAAGCTGCTGCCAGTTCTAAACTCTTGAATTTCTTTGCTGTTCTCCTGTTCCAGTTTCAGAGTCGCTCTACGGGCCCTAATGTAACCGATTTGGGTCCCACGTAGAGCCAACGGGCAGCGAACCCGATTTGGGTCTCACCGTAGAGCAGAGCTCGGACCCACCAAGTCCCCTCCAAGTCCTTGTCGGGTCCCATTGCACACAAGGGGGCCGGGCCACTGAGCAAAACCCAACTGTGCAGGTCGCCATGACACAGGGTTTTGTTCCCCGACTCCAAAGCGGAGTGTGTGCCCATAAAAGATAACGCGTCTGAAACACGTTTGAAAGAGCCGTTCAGTCGGATGTACGGAAAGGTTGGAAATTACGTTGTGGACCAAGCGGGCACAGCAAGCCTCGAGTCGCTTCTGCTACCCTCGCTTGCAGTCGTGCTTGCCCAGCCGCGTCTTGTGTGTTGCACCAGCACAGCGACAACTTGGGCGTTGTGGGCTGCGTGTCGAAAGGTCTTTGCACGAAGGCTCTGCCGAGTACCGCTCTGGTATCTGGCTTTCGTCTGCGCTGCACAAGACTTTTCTCTTCAGCTTTCTCACTCGGCCGGCGAGAAGAACAAGGATGCCGATACGCTCAGCCGCTTAAAGTACCCAGCTTGCCAAGACAAGGCAGTGATTCCCTCCAAGTCGACCCGTGCACGCGGATACTGCAGAGCGTTTCAAGCCATGGAGTGAGTTCTCCCACGTGCTCTGGCCGCGTAGTGCTGTAGGGATTCACTAAAAATTTGCTGCAGCTACTGGAAGCTGGAAGCTCGCGCCGGTGGCCGTGCTTGGGGTGCGCAGTTTAAGCAGAGGCTTGAGCTGGGACTGTATGCGTTGAGGGGGCGCCGGGCTGTGTGTGGAGGAAGTGGACTGCCATCCCCTTCCGTGTGGTGTTGGTGCTGTGTTCCTGCACTTGAGCAGTACGGTCCCAGCAAGAAGTCCTCTGCGCGTGTTTTGCTGGCACGATTTGAGTAGGTTGTGCTGCGCGCAGATTGAGAGGTTTTTTGTTTCTACTGTTGAGTATCGCCACCCACCACCGATGAGGTGGGAGACGAAGTGGCGAAGTTCAAGGAGGAATGCTGTCGCGAGAGCAAGTGCCGTGGCTTCATCTGAGCTTGCCCACGAGCGAACCACACTGAAACTCGAAACGGAGGGCCATGGAAATTTGAAAAAGCTCTGAGGATCGTAACTTACATCTCGGGGTTCCCGCAGCCCAGTGCATACTGGAGGCTCGGCAGCTACCTGCTCACCGTCAACACCGGCCCGAGGAAGCTTCTTTGATTGTTGGGGTGGAGGACCTGTTTGTAATGTGGGGTATGAGAGTCTAACGACTTGGGGTTGAGGGTTTGGAAGATGGGCTTTCCTTTCGCAGTGCGCAGTGTTCATGTGGCGCAAACCCGACCCTTGAACATTTCTAGAAGGAGCCCCAAGGTTGCTTTCGGTTTCGAGGCCCTGCTCTGAGGATTGTCTCTGGTGTTGCTTTCGTGTAGGCTCGAGGAGGAAGGTTTTTGGAACAGGATTCCCACACTTCCTGCAGAAAGGTCTGTTGTCTCTCCTGGGAAATTGTCGGCTGCAGCACCACACGTCGTTGAAGGTAGTTGGTATGGCCGTGATTTTCTTGTCTTCCCACCGGAGAAGGGAGGGTAGGATGGTCTGCGGTGGAGCCGCCAGCAGACAGAGGTTTCGAACAATAATGAATGAGGGAATGCTCCAATGGCCAACACTACGCCCTGACAGCAAAATTACTAAAGCACTACACCACTACAACATATCAAGATACCACACAAGCCATCCAGCCGAGGTTTGGGGTGCAGCTGTCAAACCGGGGCCTCGACAAAGCCTTGCTGGAGCAGGACGTGGCCCAGGATGTACGGCTCCAGGCTTGGAAGGTGCAGGACTTTGGACTTCGACATTCCTGATTTAGGACTGATAGGTTGGGGTTTGTAGTTTTGGGATTTGCTTCGAGGAACAGGACACTCAGCAGACTGTGTGAATTCGAAATTATGGGCATGCGAAATTGGCCTACCGGAACGCAACATTGAGGTTACCACGTTCATGGCCACCAGAGGCACCGACAAAGTCTGTGAGCATTGTAGTTCAAGGGCTTGGGCAGGAGCTCGGCTGCCTGGGCTTTCGGAGCTTGGTGATTACCCCCGGCCTCCACAACTTCGTCATCCAGGCTTCTGCAGGGCTTCGGGACATGTACTGTTTGTCGAATTGGGAAATCGGCATTTGCCTGGTGGTGATGATGATGTTGATGATGATGAGAAGGAGGAGGAGAAGGACAATGAGGAGCATGATGATGATGATGATGGTCATCATCATCATTTTTTATTGTCATCATCATCATCATGGTTATGATGATGACCATGACGCTGTATCTTCAAGGTTTGGGGTTGAGGGGTTTGGGAGTCCCCAAAATGCCCGGCTCCATACTCTAAGCTAAACCGAAAAACGAACCGTGCTATAAAGCATCCCAGGCATCTCACAGTCCCCAGGTCCGCCCAACTTTGCGCTCATTACACAGCCCTCAGGACTCAGGGTTTGTCCGGCCAAAAACCGTGAAATACTCTCGAGTGAAAAATAGGGACGACGCCATTCTGAGCACTGCAGGGGCGCAGCTAGTTTGGCAGAAGCACAGCCATGTTCGGTAGCTCTACTTCAACAATCTGGCCATGTTTCACAGAAAACAGTGTGTTGCAGGCTCGGGCATGAACCTCGCATGCCTGAAGCCCAGGCTTCCTGGCAGGGCGTCAGTGACGAGCGGCCTGTGAAGCGTGCCCGGGGAGCCGCTCGGCGCGAAAGTCTCTGGCTGTGAACTAGAAGGGGACAGAAAATTGGGCATGCCAGTGAAAGCTGGAGATGTACTAGTATGCGCACATGAAGGACTCAATCATCATGCAGGAAGTGCACAGTTGTCATGCATGTCGCTGCCTCTCCCTTTTAATTCAAGTGTGCGTAT